AAAAAAAAAAAAAAAAAAAGAAAGTTTACAGGTTTTTGTTTGTTTTGAGACACAGTCTTGCTCTGTCACCCAGGCTGGAGTGCAGTGGCACGATCTGAGTTCACTGCAACCTCCGCCTCCCGGGGTCAAGCAATTCTCCTGCCTCAGCCTCCTGAGTAGCTGGGATTACAGGCACATGCCACCATGCCCAGCTAATTTTTGTATTTTTGGTAGAGATGGGGTTTCACCATGTTGGCCAGGCTGGTCTTGAACTCCTGACCTCAGGTGATCCGCCCACCCCGGTCTCCCAAAGTGCTGGTTGGACAAATGTGCCCTAAACCATCAACGCATGTGCCTTTAACCAAGGCAAAGGCCCTGTCACCATGGAAAACATAGACCAGTCTCATGTGTCTTGCTGGGATTTGGCTTCCTACAGCTCCTAAGAGGTCTGAGGATAATAAAACTAGTGTAAATACAAGCAGAATTAGGAAAAATAGACCTCGCTGTCTCTGTACAGGAAGGGTGGGATGGAACTTTTGCTGTATCAAATGAAAGGCCTTGAGGTTTGTTTCATGTAAAAGCTCAATTTCACTATAACCAAGGACAGTGAGAGAGATTCAGGAAACAGCACTTCTGCAGACATCACAGTCCCAAAACAGAAGTCATGAAATGTCAGTCACAGAGCTGGGCAAAACCTCAAACCACAAACTCCTACCACACCAGAAGCCTAAACCTTCTCTCCCTCGTCAAGGTGGAAATGCAGCATCATCCAGGGCTAAATCAGTAAAAAAAACCCCTGGGAATCACCTCGTGAGTTATGTTCATCCTGTGCTCTACAGAGCCCAGGGGCAATCTGGGCACCCTGTTGGCCCCCACCTGCTGCAGAGGCAGTGGGCTGTGGCAAGGTTCGGGGCCCCTGTGACAGCAACGGCTTTTACATTTTGCACACCAAGCTCGGAGGAAAGGGTCAGCAGGTTAAAGAAACAGCTCTTTTCGCCGGGTACAGTGGCTCCTGCCCGTATGCCCAGCACTTTGGGAGGCCGAGGCAGGTGGATCACTTGAGGTCAGGAGTTCAAGACCAGCATGGCCAACATGGTGAAACCCCATCTCTACCAAAAATACAAAAATTAG